CGCTGGAGCCGGCACGTCGTGCCGTCCAGCCAGCGGACGGTGGCGGCCCGTCCGGCTCCCTGACGACGCGATCGAGGCACGTCTTGCCGAGCCTGCCCTGTGCTGCGTCGCCGACTGCGATCGGCCCTCCGGGTCGTCCAGGTCTTCCGTGGGCCTCGTAGCTCAGCTGGCCCTCCTCGGAGCCCTGCCTGTGGTCCTCGAGGCCCTGCTCGTGGCCCTGGTTGCCCAGCGCCTGGTCCCAGTAGCTGGACAGGCGGTCCTCGTAGCACTGCTGGTGGCTGTCGTTGCTCAGCGGGTGGCGCAGCTCGTCGCCCTGGTAGCTCTGCGGGAGGCTTTCGTAGCTCAGCTCGTGGTCCGCGCAACTCAAGCTGCAGCCCTCGCAGCTCCGGCTGAATCCCTCGTAGCTCGGCTAGTCGGTCTCGGTGTTCTGCTTCTGGTCTTTGCAGTTCAGCTCGTCCCCCGAGGCGCTCCGCAGGAGGCTCTGGTTGGTCTTTGTTTAGTCCGCGTAGCTCAGGTTGTGGGCTTCGTAGCTCAGCAGGTGACCCTTGTTCAGCCACGCGCACAAGGGGGTGGAGGGAGGGGGGAGGGCTTCTTAGAGGCACCCCTGCTTCTTAGAAGGCGCGGGCCTTATCGATAGGTGTAAGGCCAGCGCCTTCTAAGAAGCAGCCTCCTTCTAAGGAACCCTCCCCCTCCCTCCACCCCCTTTTGCGCGCCGCCAACTTGTAGCTCTCGTAGCTGTGCCCGTGGTCCTCGTAGCCCAGCTCCCAGTCCCCTCGGCTCTGCCGGTGTCAATCGCTGTGGCCCGCACGTGGGTGTCCAGGTGTCGTTACCGTGCGTCCTTTCAGTAGGTTTTCAGTGTAGGGGAAATGGGGGAGGGGAGGGAGGGAGGAATAGGAGGGGATGGGGTGGGGGGGAGGAGCCCCCTTGGGCCCGTCGTGTGGTCCTCTTTGGCAGTCCTGCGACCATCTTGGAGACCTCTCGGGCGCTCTGGGGGCGATCTTGGGAGCCTCTTGGGCCGTCTTGGGCCGTCAGATGGCAGAAAAAGAGCAAATACGTCAATCCGTGAAAATATGTAAGGGCTATCAGCGAGTTTAGCCTCTTCGGCCCCTCTTGAAAGACCTTTTGGAGGCCTCTTGGGCGTTTCTTGGACCGCCAGGGGCTCCCCAAAAAAGACCCAAGATACCTCCAAGGCGGCCCAAGAGCGCTCCACGAGAGCCCAAGACCGCCCAAAACGGCCCAAGAGAGCCCCAAGAGGCGCCCAAGGGGCGTCCCAAGAGGGCCCCAAGAGGCCAGCATCATGATTTTCCGCAGGACAACGTGAATTCGGAGCATGCGCGACTTTTCGGTCTCCACGGCGCCGACGACGGCCCAAGAGGCCCCCAAAACCGCCCCAGGACAACCCAAGAGGCTCCCACGAGGCCCCCAAAACGGCTTGAGAATGCCCCAGACCGGCCCAAGAGGCGCCCAAGACGGCCCAAGAGAGCCCCAAGACGGCCCCAAGGAGGGATCCACGAACCGAAAAGTCTAGCCCTTCGCCCCAAGAAGCTCGCATGAGGCCCCAAGAGGCCCCCAAGAGGCTCCCAAGAGGCCCCCCAAGAGGCCCCAGGAGGCCAAAATCATTTTCCCATAGGAATAACATACATGTTTAGCATAGACGGCTTTTCAGTTTTCGCGGCTTTGACGACGGCCCAAGAGGCCCCCAAAACGGCCCAGGAGGCCCCAAGGCGGCCCAAGAGGCGTCCGTAGCCATTTTGGCTCAAGATTTTTGTTCAAGCCACTTGTTCTCAAGCTTTCTGGCTTTGGCCATGCTGATGTAGTCAGTGCTGAGACAAGGTATTGGACATGTCCGTGCGGCCGTCTACAATGTCCGCTCCTAATGCGAATTTCCCAGAACAAGCCTTGCACAAGGTGCGGGTGGAGTTCCTTATGATCGCAGGACCACTGGCAGCGACGGTTTATTATTTTGTGACCACGATGCCGTTGGTTGTACGACCCTCGCCAAAGTTGCAAGTCGCAAGTGTTGCCACGGCTGCCCTCCAATTTCGCGCCTGCCGGAACTGGGTGTCGATGTGCTTGCTTGAGACGTCTTGCATACAGCGAGTGTTTTTTATATGGTATGTTTCATGGTCAGTACATCTCACGCTTACCATGCACTGCCAGTTTTCGTGGACCCACTCGCCAGAGACACGTTGGAACTCTTCTTTCCTGTTACCTTCAATGTGATGTTGTATGCAACTTCAATGACAGTTAGGTTTTTGCCGTTTGAGGTGTTCTCGTGTGCATTAGGAATTCTGGCCACGTTTACGCTGTATGCAGAACATGCAGAGGGGCAAGACTTGATGGAGGCCATGCGCTCTCTTCTTCCAAATGCAGTCGTGTTCTTGGTTCTCACCGCTACTCTGACATTGAGAATCAATTTGCGTAGCCATCGGCGACATATTGCAGGTTCGAATTCTCCCAGCCTCGATGGCGCCCCTGATGAGATGCAGCCACATGCGCATGTGAGCTTCGTCGGGGTATTGCCGCCAACGTCGGGTTTAGGGTTTAGGGTTTAGGGTTTAGGGTTTAGGGTTTAGGGTTTCACCGCTACTCTGACATTGAGAATCAATTTGCGTAGCCATCGGCGACATATTGCAGGTTCGAATTCTCCCAGCCTCGATGGCGCCCCTGATGAGATGCAGCCACATGCGCATGTGAGCTTCGTCGGGGTATTGCCGCCAACGTCTGGCGAAGTCTATCGAGACGGAGGGTTGGCGGCGCTTGACTCGCCAGGTCGTCGATGTAACACCGTCGTGGATATGGGCAGCTCATTGTTTCTACCAAGCATAGGAACTACCAGCAACGCGGATTTAGCCGATGATGGTCCATCTGGACACGTCGAACCCTGCGAACCTACATTAATCGGTGCCATAAGTGAGATACCCGAGGAATTTGGTGATATTCCCAGTAGCCCGGAAGATCATGTGCAAGCAGAACCGTATCGCCGTGTTCACGCCTGGAGTTCGGAAGTATCTGGTAGGCTTGACCACACGGGATCCGAGTTGTCAATCGAGCGTGACATGTGTGATGACGTTGTTATTCAAGCTATTCAAGCTGATGTTGCATCAGATGCTGGGTCGAAATCCACTTCGAGTTCCAATGCACCTACACTTCTCGGAGCCCTGAGTCTGGCTTTAGAACACCTGCTGCCAGCGAGCATCATTGGAGATTTGTGGTCCAGGGCAGGAAGCCGTACAAGCACTACTGCTGTTTGTGAGAAAACTCCTGATTCTGAAGTCTGGGCATCTGTGGCAAGTCTGCCAAGATCAGAACTTCTCAGAGTATCAACGCCAGTTGGGAGAGACAGAACGCCTGAGATTTACTTGTCCGACTCGCCAGATCCATTCCTCGCAGAGTTGCAGGAAGACATTGGCCGGACGCGCCGATTCCAGATGCCACGGCCTCGCCAACATGCTCTTAGATAATGAGACCCAGAGGCCGTCCGCTCGATCCGCTCTGGCGCTTCCGCTTCGGCGCCTGCTGCATTCGTTTTAGAAGTTTTGTTGCGCAGGGCGCTCTGTAGCATCGCTCAGCTGATGTCTACACGGCGTCCTCCGCCCCAGCCTCCGGGCAGACTGCGCGAGCCTCCACGAAGCGGGGCCGCAGGAGCTCGGACCCTGATCAGTCGTAATCACATGGCAGTATGGTTGCGGTGTACAGATGTTGATGTGGAAAGTGTGCAGTATATAGTAAATACCCACAGTGATCAAGTATTGTAAAAACTTGCAGAACATATTCACCGTACGTACACACCGTAAGTACATAAGTATGAGTTTAAGATGGGGGGATATCGGCGTCGGTGACCCGCGGCATTCGGCCGCCGTTCTCGCTGCAGCAAGAGGCGGAGTTTACCCGTAATGGAAGCTCGATTTCCCAGACCTTCCCACCTCTGCTTCCTGCTTCCTGCTTCGCTTCCTGCTTCGCCGCCGGCAGGTGGCAGAATGTTCTGTTTTGTTCCAGGGCGCGACGTTCCCGGCGCGGCGCCTCCCGGGCGCCCATGCGTGCGCCAGCGCGCCCGGCAGGAGCAACTGTACACAAACATATTTAGGAGTATAAAAAACGGCCCAAGAAGCGCCCAAGACGGCCCAAGGGAGCCCCAAGACGGCCCCAAGAGGGGGACCACGAGCCGAAAAGTTTAGCCTTCCGTTCCAAAGCGCTCCCAGGAGGCCCCAAGAGCCCCCCAAGAACCCCCAAGATGCCCCCAAGAGGCGTCCCAAGAGGCCACCAGGATGCCAAAACCATTGATTTCTTTTTTTAGGAAAACACGCACTGTCAGCATACACGGCTTTTCGGCTTTCACGGCGTTGAAGATTGTCCAAGAGGCCCCCAAGACCGCCCCCGGACAGCCCAAGAGGCTCCCAAGAGGCCCCCAAAACGGCCCAAGCGGCTCCCAAGAGGCCCCCAAAACGGCCCAAGAGGGCCCCAAGACGGACCAAGAGGCGCCCAAGACGGCCCAAGAGAGCCCCAAGACGGCCCCAAGAGGGGGACCACGAACCGAAAAGCTTAGCCTTTCGCCTCAAGACGCCCCCAGGAGGCCCCAAGAGGCCCCCAGGCCCCCCAAGAGGCCACAGGAGGCCAAACACATTGGTTTCCCACCGGAAAACATACATGTTTAGCATATCCAGCTTTTCGGCTTTCGCGGCGTTGACGACGGCCCAAGAGGCCCCCAACACTGCCCCAAGACGGCCCAAGAGGCTCCCACGAGGCCCCCAAAACGGCCCGAGAAGGCCCCAAGACAGCCCAAGAGGCGCCCAAGACGGCCCAAGAGAGCCCCAAGACGGCCCCAAGGAGGGGACCACGAACCGAAAAGTCTAGCCTTTCGCCCCAAGAAGCTCGCATGAGGCCCCAAGAGCCCCCCAAGAAGCCCCAAGAGGCCCCCGAGAGGCGTCCCAAGAGGCCACCAGGAGGCCAATATCATTGATTTCCTATGAGCAACACAAATTTTTAGCATACACGGCTTTTCGGCTTTCACGGGCCCCCAAGACCGCCCCAAGACGGCACAAGAGGTTCCCAAGAGGCCCCCAAAACGGCCCGAGAAGGCCCCAAGACGGCCCAAGAGGCGCCCAAGACGGCCCAAGAGGGCCCCAAGACGGCCCCAAGAGGGGGACCACGAACCGAAAAGTCTAGCCATTCGCCCCAAGAAGCTTCCAGGAGGCCCCAAGAAACCCCCCAAGAAGCCCCAAGAGGCCCCCAACAGGCTTCCCAAGACTCATCAAAGATGTTGCAATAAACCCTCCCTCCTAGTTCCCTCTTCACAGGTCCCTAATTCATTTTCACTGAGGGGGTGCCAGAGTCTTGAGAGTCTTGAACCGTGCCAGAAACCCATTCCTTTGAGAGTCTTGAACCGTTTGAGAGTCTTGAACCGTGCCAGAAACCCACTCCTGGGACTTCAACGCCGCGGAACAATGTTACTGTTGCGTCCTGGCGATCCTGAATCGTGCCAGAACGCTGTTCCTGGGACTTCAGCACCGCGAAGCCGAAATATCATTTCTGGTATGTGCACTATAAGAAAAATTGACATTGCTGTAAATTCTGAAGACGTATATGCGCGGCGCCAAGCAAGGCGAGGTCTAAATTTTGAAAAGGAACCGCCCTCCGTCTGTGAAGCTCTTGCAAACCTGTGGGACGAATGTGCGCGGCGCGAAGGCCAGAGCTACATTTTGAAAACCGCCCGCCCTCCATCCGTGAAGCCTTTGCAACCCCTTTGCAACCTTGTAAAACGACCGTGCGCGGCGCTAAGGCGAGAACCACATCTTGGAGACCACCAGCCTTCCATCCGTGAAACCGACATGCATGGTGAGGATTTCTCGGGCGAGACGCCCGGCCCGCCCTACTGACACGTCTCGGGGTGCGACAGGGGGAGAGTTTTCCGGTTTAAGGAAAAGGGATCGAGGAGGGGGAGGAGGAGGGGGAGGAGGAGGAGGAGGAGGAGGAAGAGGAGGAAGGGGGAGGAGGGGGGGAGGAGGAGGAGGAGGGGGAGGAGGAGGAGGAGGAGGAGGAGGAGGAGGAGGAGGAGGAGGAGGAGGAGGATGAGGAGGAGGAGGAGGAGGAGGAGATGGCGACGAAGGAAGGAAAAGAGCGGCTGAGAGGAGGTAGGACAGTCTGCAGGAAAGGTGTGGGTCCTCGCGCGTGGTCGTCTGGGGACTTCGGGGGATGCGTGGAGTGCACAGCGCGGCGTCTCCGTGCTTCCCAATCCTGGAGGCCAGATGGATGCTTCGACCAGAACTCCACTATTGGACCAGATTCGCTGGAGTACGTAGTCTCCGATCGCCGTCAAGGGAGGGAGAACGCAAGAGGCAGGACAGGGAGCACACGCGGGGGGCAGGGAGGCGAGAGAAGAGGCGGAGGAAGGAGGTGGGTGGAGAGATGAAGGAGACGAGGAGGACAAGATGAGACGAGGAAAGACGTTGGTCGATGGGTTGCAGCGCAGCGCGCGCGCGCTCGCTCGAGGGTCTGGGGGGAGAGCCCGTCGCGGGCCTCGACCAGAAATTTAAGCTTGCACCCAACACCCAACAGCGGAACAGGTTTTTTAACGAGTCCGTTGCCGCTTCCCAGCAGCTCAACATTTCGGCGGCGAGCGAGCGGGTGAAGTGAGAATGAGAAGGCCTTCTCAGAAGGTTCGGAGGTCCCCCGGCTTTCTGAGAAGTTTTCTAAGCCGTCCCGAAGACAGAGAAACTTCTCAGAGGGCGCGAGGGCTTCTGAGAAGGCCTTCTCCTTCTCACTCACCCCCCTCGCTCACCGCCAAATAAGGGAACCGGTTTTTGAACGAGTCCGCTGCCCCTCTTCAGCAGCGCATTACTGCACCACGGTCCCAAGACTGAGCCACGCCCAGCATCGGACCAGGGTTTTTGAAGCGCGCGGCACGCTGGGGGCCGCCGATCATCTCCAGTCCGCAGTGCAACGCTGGGCCAGGAGAGCAGCATTGGTCAGCCATGCGCAGAAGGGGGATAACGAGGAGGAGGGGAATGCTTCTCAGAAGCACCCCTGCCTCTTAGAAGGCGCGGGCCTCATCAATAGGTGTAATGCCGCGTCCTCTAATAAGCAGCCTCTTAAGAGGCCTTCCCCCCCCCCTGCGCGACGTCAATCATGTGAACCTTGTGTGCCTTCGTAGTTCCGTTGTATTTTGGAGTGCGCCAGCGTTGATTGGCGTCTGGTATCATCGTTGGTTGAGACAGCGTCGACTAGCGTCGACTTCGCGTCGAGTTGGCGTCGACTTAGCGTCGATGCGTAGCGCCGACTGGCGTCGAGTCGCGTCGATTCACAACAGCTTCGTGCGCGCCGTCAAATTTCAGGCGATCGCAAACATGGATTGAGAGGGCGTGGATTAGCGACGGGTCCAGTTTCCATGGGAAATCGCGGATTTCCGCCGCCGAACGAGGCGCCACCAGCCGCATTCTGGGGATGACACGTCCCAAGATCCATGGATTTGGCGACCGCGCGCCAAGTCCATGGATCGCTAATCCGTGTTTGCGCGCCCCCGAAAATTGGATCTGGAGCGGTTGAGGTGCCGTGCCCAGTCCGCACAGCAGCGGCCCTAGGCCGGAGCGGGTTCCCCTTCCCGCACGGTGGAAGAACAGAAACCGGCGGCGAGGACCACGAGACAGGGGACGACGAGGACGACGAGGGCGAGCGACGAGGACGACGAGAGCGAGCGACGAGGACGAAGACGAGCAGGACGACGACGACGCCGACGCCGACGCCGGCGACGACGACGCCGACGTGAAACCGACGAGGGCGACGACGGGGAGCGCCGCCGCGCCAGGCTCCCTACAAGCTCGCCCCGGAGGCCCAGGCATGCCCGCCACCCGGAGGAGGAGGAGGAGGGGGAGGAGGGGGAGGGGGAGGGGGAGGAGGGGGAGGAGGAGGAGGAGGGGGAGGGGGGAGGAGGGGGGGGGAGGAGGAGGAGGATTTTTTTTGCACCGAGCGCTCCAATGAGCTCAGACAGGGGGGGGAGGCGGAGGAGGAGGAGGAAGGTGAGCTACCCCTCCATGCCCCTCGCGCGCCCTCCTGTTGAAGGCCTTGGCGCGAGCGGAGGCACCTGGGAGGAGGCCTCGGCGGAGCTTGCGCAAGTTACTGGCACGTGTGTGAGCTGTGCACCTCTTGGTTAGGGATGCGAATGGGGCCAATGGAGGAGGCAGAGGGGGTAGCGCGAGGGTCGATCGGGGTGCAAGTGGTCGCGAGCCACTCGATAGCTCCGCTCCGAGCCGGCTTCTGGCGACACGCTGCACACGAAATCCGAGACCCCTCGAAAACGAGACCAGGACGATGGGCGGAAGAAGCGACCGCTTTCTCGAGGCGAGTCAAGCCCGCTTTCCGAACTCCTTCGAGCGGCCTGGCCCGCTCTCTTTGCCCCCTGGAATCGTGACTGGCAGACGCGATCAAGGTGGCTGCGAGACGAGCCCGGACCTGCTCGGCGACGGCGTCCACTCCAAGGTCGCTGCCGGCGGTCTCCGGAGAAACCTGATTCTGAGCAGCCTCCCACCCGGCTACTCTGTCGGCCTCCTGGTTGGCCGATCTGAATAGCTCGGGGAGGCCGCTCGTGCGGAATCTTTCCGCATCCACGTGGCTCTCAACTTTAATTAAGGCGATCCTGCGAAGGGGGCAGGAGCGGAGGTCGAGCGAGAGGGCGTGCCAGAGGTCCTGGTTAGATCCAGGCTTGGACCCGGCCTGGAGCCGAAGCCATCCACGCGCAACGTAACCGCTATCTGTCAGGAATGTCAGATCTTCGCGCACGTGCAGTAAACAGTCCAAAAATGCTTTCAACTCTGCTCGGTTGCTGGTCTGTCTGCGACCAGCGAGGGCAGCACTACGACGGCGGTACACTTGGACATGGGGCAAAGCGGGGTTAACCTCGACCCACGCCCAGGCACATCGACGCAACCTTGGGTCCTTAGCATGCTCACCACCCGACCCGTCCCCCGCACAAAGACGTCCCAGCACCTCAGGCGGGGCTCCCTCCTCGCCGTGGCGCGTGTCGCGCTCGGGGGATGGGCCCTCGCCTTCATTCGCTGGATACTCGACGTCGTGCGTATCGACAGCGTCAGGAGGGGCAGGGATAGGGACAAGGGAAGCAGGGATGAGGCCACGAAGCCCAAAACACACGTTGGTATCTGAATCGAGGGCGGTCTTCGCCGCCTCAACAAGATCAGCTGAATCAGTACACTCGGGAAGAGAGTCATTGCACTGGCACTCCCACACACGATGCCTGAGCGTCTCAGGGGCGAGACCACATCTGGGGCAAGTGGGGTCGAATTCGCCAATGGCACACTCTGCAACTCTCTGTCTGGGCCACATACCGGCCGCGGCTGCACACTCGATGGCCGCCTGCCGTTCGTACTCTTGTGCCTTGCCTAGCCTCGACAGCTGCAGGCGGAGGCTGAAGAGATCCACGCCTTCCTGCAGCCCACTCTCCAGGTGCTGTGCGGACGCGCCTGCCCAAAGCTTCCGCTCCACGGAGGCGTGCACGGTGGCCAGCAGGTCGGAGGGGTCGAAGGCGGCCAGGCAAGCAGCAAGGGACGAGGGGTCTTGAGTGGGGGCCTCCCAGCGCTCTTCGAATGGATCCAGCCACTCGAGGAGCCCGAGAGTGTCCCACCCAAGAGAAAGGAGAGAGGTGATAATGGCAGAAATCGGCCCCTTAATATTGGACCAGCGACGTTTGAGAGGAATGGAAATAATGCGAGCGTAAACGCGCTCCCAAGACTTCTGCAGACGACCGATGGGCGTGTCGTCTTTTTTGAGAAAGCAAAACCACTCAACTAACAAGTCAAGCACGGCCACGATGGCTGGATCGCGAGACCCAAATCTGAGAGCCAGGACGTGGTTAAACACCTGCCCTGCTTCTGTTCCCACACTGCACGCGCCGTCGCCTGCCGTAGTTTTTTTCAATCGGCCGGGAGACGCCCCAAAAACTTTAGATTCTTACATCGCCTGGGGCACGGCACCTGTTTTAAACAGTTTGAGTCTAATGTGCTGCTTCAGGGATCTCAGCGTGGAGATGCGGTTGCCCCTGCGGACCCCTTTACGCCAACGCTGGAGACCCCTAGACCTACGGATGTGGACGTGGGGCCCCCGATCGATGCCTAAATCAGGGGCGCTGTGCAAAACCTGAATGCTAATTCCTGACTGCTTGAGCTCGCTTGAAACTGTCTTGGCAATGGTGGCAGTTGAAGCGATGACACAGGATTTGCTAGACAGAGAGAGGTGCAGCTGATCAAACCCCTCTTTGAAAGCCACCACGAAAGATACAGTCTGATTGGTCACATTCTTGGCCGTGCCTTCAGCTCGCGAGTTCACATCATCAACCCAATTACGTGCCTCAAGCCCTGGTTGAAACCTGGAGTTGAGATCAAACATGAGGTCGAACAGCATACAGGCAGCGAGGTGCTGGGCGGAGCGACACCCGGCTAGCAACCCCCAAAGAGCCTCGATGGCGGGAGAAAAAAGACCGGAGGCTTTGGAGGTACCTGGGGGCCAGGTGTAACTGTATACTGAGGGCGAGCACGATACATGGTAATTATGCTTGGTAGCTAATTGCATGACTAGCACAGGGTCTAAACTGTCATAAAAAGTTTCAATATCGCACATCGCCGAGCAGGTAGAGACCTTGAAAGTAGCAGCGCTTTCGTCTAGCACCAAGCGCTTTGTTTAAGGCGGCTTGGACAGCGGAGCTGCCTTTCACAGCGTCGTCGAACCGAGCCCGACGTTGGCGTTCGAGGGACCACTGGTCAGTGACGTCTCCTCGGAGCTGCTCCCACAGACGTGCCACGAAAGCGAAACTTGCGATGCTGCGATCTGCTCCCGAGTCCTTCGGCAAGAGAGCAATCCATGCCCTGAGCATCTGCCAGGGCCAGGCGATGTTGCTTTCCATCGCCTGGTAAACGTCGAGCAATTCCTGGCGGGCAGCTGGCGGCAGCCTAGCTATGTCACGTGCACTAATATTGACACATCCTCTGGACTTACGCTCGGGCGTGCGCTGGAGGATAAGGTCGAGGCGAGCCAACTCAAGAGGAGGGAGGGGAGGGGCCTCCAGAGCGCACTTTCTTACCTCTTCAAATGCTGCATGGAGCTCGTGATCGTTGCTGCGACGAGACCATTTGTTTATCCAGGACTGGGCCCGGACATGCATGAGCTCGACTGGGGTAGTCGTTGGCAAGCTGCCTTCTCCGAGGGCTTCTACCGTGGTGCGAGGTTTCGGCTTCACCATCTTATGTAATGTGCCGAGACTGCTGGGTTGTTCCGCCCAGTCGCTGCAGCTTATACGAGCTCTATCTGTGACCGTGCGAGAGGCTCTGCTGAAGTTCCGGTCGGCTGCGCCGGCTAATAAAACGACCTGCTCCGCTCCTAGGTTCAGTAGCTCCCCGAGCGCGCGCCGCCAGGACTTGACCGCGGCGCCGTCGAGGGAAGGAAGTTTCAAATCGCCGAGCCGAGGAGCCAGGGACTCCACGCGGTCCCAAATCTGCTTGGTAGTTCGCTCCCTGCCAGGCTTGGAGTCGGTCTTTGAAAGCACTCTGCCCAACAAGGCAAGGTGGGAGCTCAAAACAGCCCACCAATTGACATCATTGTGCACAGACTGCAGTGGTGCCGACTTCAGCGAAACAGGACGTTTGGAAAAAGGCTGGACCACAGCCCGTCCCTGAAAGGAGGCTTGGGGCTCTGGCGGAATGGCGTATGCTTTGCAACAAAATGATTCCATACGAGAAGCCCACTCGCCAAACTGCACAGCCAGCTATTCAGAGGCAGCGGGGGCCGGCAGATCCCCTAAACAGCTTCGGATCTCGGTAGGGGCTCCTCGCCGGACCTCCTGCAGGGCCCTTGGGTCGGGTTCCACCTCGTCCCAAAGATCTCCTAACGTCCTGGAGGGGAGGGGAGGAGGGAGGAGGAGGAGGAGGAGGAGGAGGGGAGGAGGAGGAGGAGGAGAGGGGAGGAGGAGGGGAGGAGGAGGAGGAGGAGGAGCGGATGAGGTCCATCAGGGAGGAGGGGAGGAGGAGGAGGAGGAGGGGAGGGGTCATCACCTGGGGCCCGGTCGGCCACTGGGACGTCTTCTTCGGGAGCCTGACCTACCTCTGGGAAGCCATCATCGTCCTCGGGCGCCTGGCCTACCTCAGGATGGAAATCTCCTGGGTCCTGGCCGTGGCCTGGAGCCGCCTCAAAAGGTGCGGCGGCATCCGAGAAACCTGGAGCGCCCTCTCCACCGCGCCGGGGCTTTGAAGCCCGCTTGGGTGAGGAGGGAGGGAGGAGGAGGGGGAGGGGAGAAGGAGGAGGGGTGGAGGGACGCGAACGGCTACGCAAGGATTTTTTGCTATTCGGGTCAGGCAACCGCTTGGGCAGCGGTGGGTGCGGAAAAGGCTTGGGCACTGTACAAGTGAGGTGCTCCGCGTCGGCGGGGTCGAGGCCGATGTTTATTTGGAGCGCTGCGTGTGCCTTCCATTCCCCGTCCATAACCGAGCGAACGGAGCGTATGAACGGGGCGAGGTCCTTGGCGCAAACGGCGAAGTCGTACAACCGGCCCTCGCCAGCGAAGCTCGTGACCTCGACGTTTTCTGGAAGCAGCTGCGTACCGACGACTTTCTCCAACCAGTCGTCGAGATCGTTCGGCTCCACATTCCAGTCGCCAAAAGCAATCCATGGGGCAGCCTGCGCCGACAGGAAACCGCCTAGGGCGCGAAGCTTGCGCAGGTTCCTGCCCTTGACCCCGATGCCGTGGTCGAGGTAGATCTGGACCAGAACTATCTGCTGCCATGAGGTTCGGACGCTGACGGCTGAGAAATCGTGAAAGTCTATGGGGCCACTGCC